ATTAACACCCCTACTTCAAAATTAGATACCGCCTCCAAGCCCAAACTCTTGGTTGTGGTTCAGCTCTTGTTGAACAAAATCTCTTAAGGCCACAACGGACCTAACAAGACTAGCCCATAATAAAAGCACCATGCAGAGGACTAGTTGATCTCACACGGTATTGGTACTAACGCACTAGGCACCTGCAATTGCATAATGGGCTTAGATTTGGGTGCAGATTCCACATGTAATTTCTCTATGGGTCCTCTATTTTGTAAGGATGTTATATAATATTTATAAATATCCAGTGATCTGCTTATAAAATGGTTAATGCATCTCAGAAATTTAACCGATAAGTACTAATCATTTTCCAATAAAAAGTAAAAAAAAAAAAAAAACAATGGGAAAAGTTCCGCCGGTGATTGGGGACCGGGTTCAAATTCCTCTTTTCTAGCTCAAAAAATACTCATTCCTTAAAAGAAATAAAAAAAGACATAAGGTGTGCATGACAACCATTCTATTCCTTAGCACTGTTTTCGAAAAAAAACAATTCTTTTCTATTTTTGTGTCTTGGAACAATTTCTGAGAAAAAAATTGTGTTTGATAACATGTTCTATTTTTATTCCGAGAATAAAAATTGTGTTTGATAACACAACAAATAATGTAATAAAAAATAATTTCTATTAAATATAAAAAAATTTGAATCATTACTTTCCTTTCCATATGGTTTGGTTGTGGTGGTGGTGGCGACTTTGGCGGTACAGAAGTGGTGGTGGCAGTGACGTGGTGAAGATAATAGTGGTGGCGGCGACTAGGGGTGTAAATGGGTTGGGCTGGGCTGGGCTTTGGCCATTCTGGCCCAAGCCTACGTCAAAAAAAAGTCAGCCTATCTGGCATATTGGCCTATTAAAGGCTTTATTTGTAGGCCAAGCCCGGCCCATTTTCAAAAATAAGAAAGCCTGACATGGCCTACAGGCCTTGTAGGCCTCCCACTATATATACTAAACAAAAAAAATAAATGTATAGAGCAAAGAAAGTTCCATTCATGCATACACTAGTACTTCTCATAAGAAAAAAAATGACAAACAAGAAAGAGTCAACATAATACCTCAGCTCTAGAATGTATATCATAGAGGAATAGAGTCGAAGAAATGGGAAAAATAAGAAAAATACAATTACTGGATGCTGAAATAAAGTCTACAAGAGAATGTCATTCATCTAAAAATCTTTAAACCACCATCAAGACAAGGGAAAGAAGATTATTATTGAAAGATCTTCATCAGTAACATCATAATACAGCAAGGTACCCATTGTTCCATGGTATTAAGCTGCAACAGCATGTAAAATTTGGAGACATTATACAAGTTTTCTTTCACAAAATAAAATAGCACAAAAAGTAAGAGATTTTGGTATTTGGTACTTTGTGTCTTTGCCACATAAAATAATAATAATATATATTTTATTTTAATAAATTAAATAGGCCAGCCTACAAGGCTGTAGGCCGGGCTTGACAAAATTGGCCTATGGCCTATTTATTAAAAAAGCTTTTTTATAAGCCTAAGCCTACTCTACTTTCCTGAAAGGCTGGGCCTGAGCTGGGCTCAATGTAGGCCGAGCCGTAGGCTGGGTTGGGCCAGCCTGGCCCATTTACACCCCTAGCGGCGACGGTAGTAGTGGTGGAGATGGTGGTGGAGGTGACGGCAGTGGCTGCGACAATAGTGGTGGGGATGGTGATTGGTGGTGGCAACAATGGTAACGGTGGCATGGTGGTGGTGGTGGCAGTGGCTGTGGTGGTAGGTGACAATGGTGGTGGTAGTGAGGGACATCGATTGTACTGCCCTTTTTTTAATAAAATGTACCTGAATGTCACAGAGTCAAAAAAAAATTTCAAACTGCCACGGCACCATAGTCGCTGAGGTAGTCAGCTACTATGGATGAGACACGTGTCACTTCCCCAGCAGCTGAAAACCAAAGTAGCTGACTACCTCAGCGACTTTGGATTACGTGTCCAGCCGCTTGGTAAGTGACACGTGTCCCGTCCATAGTAGCTGACTATCTCAGCGACTATGGTGCCGTGGCAGTTTTGAAAATTTTTTCGACTCTGTGGCATTTAGGGATATTATATTAAAAAAAGGGCAGTATGGTCAATGTCCCTGATAATGATGGCGAGGACGTGGTGATGGTAGTGACGGGGGTGGTGTGATGGTGTTGGTGGTAACGGTAGTGGTGGTGACGGAGGCGGCGGTGATGACGGTAAACGAGGCGGTTTATGAACCGCCGAACCAAGCATTTAGAGGCGGTTTGAACCGCCTCTAAATGCAAATATAACCGCCTCTAAAAACCAGTTTTCTTGTAGTATACGTAGTAGTTGCGGCAATGGTAGTGGTGGTGATGGTAGTGGTGGTGGTACTGGTGGTGGCAGTGGCGTGGTGATGGCGATGGCGGCGGTGGCGATGACGACAATGGTTGCGATGATGGTGATGGTGGTTGATGGCGGTGAGGGTGATGGTGGTGCACTACTAGAAAAAACTTGTACAGTGACGGAATTGTTATGGAAATTTCGTCGCTAATTTCATCCTCGCTATTACTTTTCGTCACATATTCCCTCGCAAATTATTTTGCGAGGGAATTTGTGACGGAAAGTAGTAAAGACGATGAAATTAGCGACGGAATTTCTATAACAATTCTGTCACTATACAAGTTTTTTCTAGTAGTGGTGGCGGCAGCAGTAGTTGTGGTGGTGGTGGTGACTTTGGCATGGTGGTAATGATGGTGGCGGTGACATCGTGGTGGTGGGGAGTGGTGACGACGGCATCAGTGGTACGACGGCAGCGGCAACGATGGTGGCCGTGGTCGTGTTGGGATGTTGGTGGTGGTGGTGATGATGGTAGAGGAGGAGAGTGATTGAGAGTGACAAGTGTTTCTCATTTTGTGCCCGTGAACAAAAAAGACAGAAATTTTCTGATTTTTTTCTGTCCCCCAGCACAAAAATCAAATCGGTTCATTTCGGGAATAAAAAAATAAACCGATTTTACCAAACGAGTTTTCTATCCATTTCAGTTCCTCAAAATAAAAATTAAAAAAAAAAATTCCGGGAAGGTTGTCATGCACACCCATAAAGACTTGCCCATAAATCCCCTTTTACAGCAACACCTTCGAAGAAAAAAAAAGTTGAAATGTTGAGTATAAATTCATAATTTTAGATAACACTCTATGATATGTTTAATCTAAAATGAATTTACTTTTAAAGTTTTATTTTTAAATTTTGATAGATCAAAATTATAATATGCAATAAAAATACCGTATTATATGCATGTCCTTTAAAATTAAACTTGGTGTCTTTTTCCCAGATGTATGAGGTAAATACAAATAATCTTCGAAAAAATTGCAAGATATACTCGTCATTCATATGCATTGAATACAAATTCGGAGCTTCACGAGACAAAAGTGATTTGAATCTTGCTCACACAACAGAAAGTTATTAAGACGGCTAAAAGTCCCTCGTAATGCCATTCAACTGTGAGAGACCATTTTTGATGATTTGTTGTATGCCTTTATTAATTCTTTGCGAATAAAAAATAACTGAATTATAATTTTATCTGCACAGCCATTTTTCTTTTCTTACTTCACGTTTAATTAATAATAACATAATTTCACTTTCGTAAGAGTAAATTCAATTTTAAGAAATGTGAAAAATCTATATAATGATGTATCATAAGTTTTATAATATATATTTTGTAGAAAATATGCATGTGTTCTATTTATTCGATGTTAAGAATGAACATATATATATACACAAACTTACTTTTTACTCATATAAATCATTAAATCATATTATTATAAAATATTATTCTAAATAGTCACTGAAATTTACTCACGTACCTTAATCCATGCATGTTGCGCTCTTTTTTTTTTTCAACCTAGAAAGCATATCCCTAATACTTATATACACAAACAAAACCTTGAATATATCAACTGCCTTTTCTTTTTGTTTCATCCAAAATGGATTAAACTCAGTGTACATGCACCGTATCTTTCTTGTTCATAGATCATACAGATCTCAATTTACTATTCCATCCATAGCCCAATGCAATCCCGAAATGGTGATAATATTCATAAGAAATAACTTTCATCCATATTGAGCTGATTTTGAAAAGGAGGCGATCCCAATTCCCAAATCCAAAAATGTCTTCCCCTTCACATGCAAGCACATGAACCTATTCACATAAAAAATGGTCTTTATTGTTTACAAAAAAAAAATGGTCCTTATTTATTTTTCCCTCAACCAGGACCAATCAGATAAGTCCCCACCTTCGTTTGGATAGAGTCAAATAAAAGCCGATAAAGAAGACCCCATTTGTACGGTGTATGAGGTACGGTGCGACTGCGGTAGCTCCAATATAGTTGACATGTCTAGCTCCATTCCTAGTTTTAATACTCTCACATGATTGGTCTAATGGCATTTTAGGTGGCACTAACGTGAACGCAACTTCCATCAAAACTGCACAAAAAGTCTAAAAAAAAACACCCTACTTCCTCCAATCAACGTCCACCACCTCACTTTTCCATTTCAATCGCCAATATTAATTATTAAGTTGACCCTATTATTAATAAGTTACTATTATTAAATTCACTTTATTAATTTATTACTACCAACCAACACGGGTAGCACACGAAGTTGCTGAGAAAGTCACTAGCCTCCCTTCCCCTAGGCCCTAGCTAAGTCTACCTTTACATTACTACTCCCTTCCATTCATTTACGTGTTCATATCAAAATAGTAAGGGCCGAATTTCTTGACCAATGAGAAAATCCGAATATTCTTCAGAAACACGGATTGTTCATTGGCTGTTTGTTTGTATATCACTTTTTCTTTTTTCTTTCTTTTTTTGTTCTTTTCGGGATGGGTTACTATCTACGTTGTTTTCAATATAGTCACAAAATTGATGCTGGCCAAGATGAGGAAAGATAACGATGAAACAAAGGAAGAAGATAAAAGATTTTTTTTTTTTCTTTTCCCCTGCCTATTTACTCGGATATTTTTGAATAAATATCCAAATTATTCAAAGTGAAAAGCATAAAGAAAAAATGAAGCATTTCCTGATCTAATCCCTCAAAGAATATGAACATTTTATGATTTCATTTTCCCTTATACCCATGATGTACAAAACAAAAAACAAAAAAAAGAACGAATAATATTATCCAAAGAAAAAAAGAACCAAAGAAGAAAAGTTTTTAGTTTCCTGAAAAGCTGCTAACAGTAGTCCTGTTGTTATTGTTGTCGTTGTTGTGGCCGTTGTTGTTTGCATGAGTACCACCAATGATGGAGGAGATAGCAGCAGCGAGCACAGCCGTGAAGTTTGGATCAGAGGTGATGGCTGCGGTGGCGGCGCTGACTGAGTCAACAAGCGAGGGCTGTTGGCTTGGATGTAACGGTGGTCTTGGAGGTTGTGGGGCAAATTGGGAAGACCCCACTTCCTGAGACAATTGAAGACCAGAGAATTTGGATTGGTTGTAAAGCGCTTGTGCAAGTGGGGTGGCTCCTGACCCAAAATTCTGAGGCTGCCCTTGAAAGGGTACTTGAAATGGGGTAGGAGGTCTTTGGAATTGTAATGGGTTTGCATTGTGGGTGAGGTCCAATGTGACAGTGGGGAATGGTGCTGAAGCTGAAAGTGTTGCCATGCTAGAAGAACATGGAAGAATAGCTCTTGCTAGCAAATTGGGGTTCATTATACCATCTGCACTGGACATTGAACCTGACAGTAACATGCTAGCAGCAGCTGCTGTGGTCGATGCCATGGCCATAGCAGCAGGTAGCAGTGGATGGTTATGTGTACCTTCATATGTTGTTACCAAAATGGTTCTGTCCTCCGCACAACGTTGAACCTATTAACAAACCATGAGATATTAGCTCTAGCCACAATTGTTAATAATAATAATAATAACACTTAATAGTGCATACCATGTTAATAATATATATAGTACTAGTGTATACAAAACTTACTTGTTTGCGAACTGGGCAACCAACTGCCATAGTGCATCTATAATATGCTCTAGGACATGGATTTCCCTTAGCCATTTTTTGTCCATATTTTCTCCATTGGCATCCATCGCTGATCTGAAAAATCAGAAATTCAGTTATAATTAGAGAAACTAGTCATCATTATTTGTTTAATTGTTTGTGAATTAATTAATTAATCCATTATTAATCAATCAATAATACATACCATGGGAGCTTCTGATCGTGCACGAACTGAGACACGAGCTTTTCTCATTGTGGCTTCTGTTGTGGATTGATCCATAGGATTGGAGGGGTTCAATTTCTGAAGCTTATTGGAAGCCCACCCTTGTGATTCTGAGTCTGGACTCTCTTCCCTACCCAGCTCATTTTTACCATTATTATTTCTCACGTAATCCCTTGTTCCAACATCAATGTTATTGTTCTGAGGTGTGCTCGATCGTGTTCTTTCATCGGAAGAAGAATTGGAAACTTGTTCATCTACCTCTGCTGTACCACTGGGACCTATATCTAGGAATTGTCTTGGTACCTTTCCTCCACCAACACCGGGTTTTTTCTCCTCAGCTTTTGCCTGAACAACCTAAATTTGAACAAGGATTAACATGTTAAAAATTTGACCCAATTACATGTATGTAAATAGAGCTATATAATAACTATGTAAATCAATTATATCAAAGTGATTTACTTATCTTCTTATAATTTAAAATAAATAAATAAAAAAAAATTGGCAATATATTGTAAGAAATTAATGATTTATTGTTACCTCATTTTCTGTGCTCTCTGTACGCTGGTTCTGTTGCTGTTGCTGTTGCATTAATGACACGAGATGCATCTGCAAGGCCGTGTAGTTACCGCTCACATGGTTGAGCATCTCTTTCAGCTTCTTGTTCTCAGCATTCATGCGTTGAAGCTCCACTTGCAACTGTGCAAGCTGAATAGACAAGCATTTATGTATATCAATTCTCAATTTTAGTGGTTAAGTTAAATTTCATTAATGGCTATGTATATTTAAAACAAAAATTAAATTATGTACCTCAGTGGTCTTGGTTCGCTTATCTTCAGCATCTGATGAAACCCCATCATCCACCGTAGATTGATCACTCCCAGCGTTAGCAGTAAGGAGTTGTAACCCAGTCTAGAATATTTGGACAAAATAAAAAAGATATATATTTAGTACATATTATTATATATAACCATGATTTGATTATAAAATCTCGAGAAAAATAGAAAATTCAATAAGATAAAGGAAGGAGCTTACATTTATGTGGAGATTAGAGTTTGGAAATTTTTCATCGGAAGGAATCTCCTTCTTGACAGAGGTACTTGTGATGTTGGGTTTAACATGTTGATGATTAATATTATCATGGTCGTGGATAGCTGGAGGTGATGGCTTGTTTCTGTCAGAGAAGAAGTCAACTTCACCAACCACCTTCCGGTTGTCATCAGTGGTGTGATCATCTTCCCTGTTGGCGGCACGGCTAAGGTTAACCGGGAATCCCAAGAGGGGGAACATCCTATCCTGGGTGAGATTGGAGAAAGGATTCAAAGAAGTGGTAGGTGGCTGTTTGGAAGGAAAGAAAGGAGAGGAAGAAGAAGAAGTATCAAGGGTTAGACACCATCCTTTGTCCATAAAATAAACACAGATATCAGAGAGAGAGAGAGAGAGAGATGTGAAACAAATATAGAGAGAGAGAGATAAGAGAGGTGATAATTGATTTATTGGGGGATGAAGTCTTTCACCGGTGCAATAGCTTGGGCTATAAAAAGAGTTGGGGAATTGAGGGAGCGTGGACCAAAGGGAAATGAAAATTGGACTTTATGAGACTTCCATAGGATTTGATTTTTTTTTTCTTTTTTTTAATCGATGTTGTTGCGTCAGTTGGTGCGTCAGGCTGGACAGTGTCCAAATGCATCCACACACACGCGCCCATGGTTTGGATTTGGCAATCATTATTATATTACTATTCCACCCTACAATTCACACTTTGTTTGACGGAGAAATATTTCTTTTTCCCGGAAAATTACTATGTAGGGAAAGTTAATTTTTTAAAAATATTATCAAAAAAATTATTTGATAAGTTAAAATATTTTTAAAAATATTAACTCAAGATTTCTGATTTTATTTTGATTAATTGTTAATTATTCCTAGAATTGTAACATGAATTTATAAAACTAACTTTTGATAAAAATTTCTAAAAAAATTATGATATGACACAAAAAGATCAAAACACGACGTTAGATATCAAATCCAAATTTCCCAAATGAATTTGACTATTCTTAAACTAATCTCATTTTCAAACCAGAGTAACGCCAAATCGTTCTCAACACATATCATGGTTGTCGATTTAATGTCGGAATCGGATGATCGTGACGTTGAGGTCACTAAAGTGAAGCGGTGTGAAACAGAAAGGAACTCAGTAAAAGTGTCGTGAAAAGAAAAAGTGAAACCCATCATTTTGTGAAGCAGAGTATTACGGTTAAGGCTTTAACAAAAAAAGAGTATTTTAATTATAAAAATATTAAAGTAGGGTTATTTATATTTTATAAATTATTTAAAAAAGTTCCACCAAGAAAAAATTCAAGAATACCATCCATCTGATTGTTTTATTTTATGAAATCTATTTTTAATTCTCAAAAAAAGTTTAATTTTTTTTATACCAAACATAATAACTAAGATTCTCAATATAAATTTTCTGAAAATCTAAAATTTACCCCGTGCCAAACGGCCTTTAGTTTAGTTTTAGTTTTTCTAGATTCACATGTAGTAATATCATTATCTAGAGGCAACAAATTTCCATAATAATAAAAATCTATGATCCAACTCCAATCCCAAGATAATATCTCTTTAACTGTTGGAAAAGTATAAATTAATGGACAGTGTTGTATGAACGTGGATCAATGAAACTAACAAAATGCATGGACACCCGACCCAACGATTCATCTTGTAGGATAGTGCATATCTTTTTGTCGTTTTAGAAAAGAAAAAGAAAAGAGGTTTAATTGCTAAAGAAGAAAAATTAAGTGAGAGAAAGAGAAAGAGAGAGACGTGTGGGGGGTTTCGTCTGGCTTTCGTGAAGAAAGGATTTGACTGACTCATAAATGAAGAAGAAATGGAGCCACCGTCCCCGATTGATGCGGGGCGTTCCACGTGATGAAAATGAATTCTCTCTCTCTCTCTGGCACACACAAAGACAATAAATTCAACACAAGACATAATAGCAAAAGCCAAGTCAACCAATTTGACGCACGGCTTTCTCTGTCTTCTCTGGTGCGTGCGGTGACTGAAGACCGGGCCCCCAAGTAACTTAGTCTTTTCATGGCCCACCAAACCACCTTTCAGATCCAAATGCTCCCCGGGAACCTTGTTGACTCTTTATTTGTGGGACCGGCTCACCAGCTCACCGTTTCTTACTATTGCACTCCCTAGCTACCGCTCCATTATATCTCATCACAAACATGAAACATCTATGTTATGAACCAAAAGTCGCATTCCATTGGGTAGAATAGCATAAATAATTGATAACAATCTTATTAAAACTTACTCAGTGATTGATTCGATTGAAATATTGAATTATTGGGTCATTGATTTAATTAGTAACTCACTCGTTCAATCACATGACCTGATAATTATATGTAATTTATATTAAAAAATTATAAACGTGCTCAAATATATAAAAAAATGATAAAAATTTCAAATATTTTAATATAAAAAATAATAAATCACATATTATTATTCAATAAAGGATTAAACAAAAATATAATAATCGTGATATGAGGCTTCAGGTTCATGAAACGACATCTCTAGCTATAAATCACATCAAAATTTTCTGCGTAGTGCATAATTGAGATAATATTAGTATTGTAGGTACATAACTTATGTAAGTTAATAAGAAAAAAAATTCAAATATGTCCTTCATGATTTTTCTTTGAAAAAAAAAAATTTGAATTTTTTTTTTTGAGACCGGGCTGGATTACCGATTAACCGACCAGATCATCGGTTTTCATGAAAATCGACCGGGTCGTACCAGGTCACACTGGTTCTTATCTATGTCTGGTCTGTTACTTTAACTGGACCGATTATATAATTGATTTATCAGTTTTCGATTTGACCCGGTCGGATCGATCCAGTTCTATTAACATATAGAATCACAATTGTACTAGTGAATACGTTAACTATTTCCATGAGAACCAAAATTTACATTTAGTATTGTCAAGGTGACCAAAAAAATAATTCATTCAAGGGCTTTGTTATATTTATTGGAGTATTTGGTTAGACAACAGGTCGCTGTTTTGGTTATCGGTCTAATGGGGAAATTAGTTGGAGTATTCCGTCAACTACTCACATGAATTATCATTTTTCATTTTATGTATGAATTGACTGAACAAAAACGGCAAGTCCCAAGTTCCTTTCAGAATTGTGTTTTTTTTATAAAAAAAATGTTAAATCCAATCGAATAAGTTGAATTGGTATAGCTACAATCAACCAGCACTCTCTAAGTGTGTATTCGTATTAAAGAAGAGAAAAGAAATTATAAGTATAATCTCTCTCTTAATTAATTGAGCTGATTTAAAGAGACACAGTTTTTTTATGCATACGTCATCGTGAGTAACACTTGAGCCACTGTTAATAATTAGATTGATACACCTAAAATTTGTCTTGGAATTTTTTGTTTTTGATACATAAATTTTCTTAGAATTATATGTGCATGTTGGTGTAGATAGGAATGATTTTTTTTTTTTGGTTTTATACTTATTTTCATTTTCATTGTTAATATAATAATTTTTTATTTTTATTTTAATTATGTTTGAGGGCTATTTGAATTTTAAACATTATTTTATTGCTTTTCGAGAATAAAGGTTCTTCGTATCTATTCCTACTCATTTGTTTAACCAAATTTTCTGTCATTTCGGCATTAAAAATAACAAAAACTAATGTGAAAATAAATATATAGAAATTAATAGTCAGAATTTCATGACCTCCTCTATGCATACATTTTAAACTTTAAATTTAGGGGAAGGTACGCCCGCTTAAACTTTTTTCTACTTTTTTTATTTTTAAATAACTTGCAACTAATTAAATGTACTTTTTGCTATTATTTAGTGACGGTTTTACCTTTGTTTTGTATATCTTGTTATATGAATTTTACAGTTGTGGTATTAATTTAAGGGTTTAGTGTGTGTATTTTAAAGGATGTAAGTTGTGTTTTTTTAATTTTTAATTTTATTTACTTCCGGTAGTACATAATTATAACATGAAAAGTCATTTTTTTCACTTTCTACGTCAATTGATGTGAATGAGGAGAGAAAAAAAAATAATTTTTCATGTTATAATTATGTACTACTAATAATACATAGAGTAAAAATATTAAAAAGACACAACTTACACGCAAATAATTTTCTCTTATTTTAAAAGTTTGTAGTAACTATAGTCTACAAAGCACGGACACGCTTTGTTTTTGAAATTGTGCGTGTCGGACACGGACACGCTCCGACACGTTCGGACACGTGTCCGACACGGACACACTCCGACACGTTCGGACACGCGTCCGACACGCGGTCAACACTTTGGGACACGTGGTCAACTCTCCAACACGCTCTTGACACATTTTTCCGACACGCAATTAACTCTTTTCTACACGTGGTCAACGCTGGGACACGCTTGGACACACTGGAACACGCTCAGCCACATTTTTTTTTACTTTTAATATTATTTTATTAACTAAAAATAAAAAAAATCTTTTATAAATTAATTTTTTTCTATTATGAAATTTGACATGAAAAATTAACAAGATACGAAAAATTATTTTTGTTTATATTTATGTTATGAAATTTGAATATTTGATTGGTTATATAACTTATTATGGACTGTTATATCTATTAAATATAAATTATATTATATATATTAAAAATATTATTTAATATCAAAACGTATCCTAACATGTTAAAATATGCCATTTTTTAAAATTAACGTGTCGACGTATCGTGTCCCGTGTCAGTGTCCGTACATCATACCACAATGGAATCATTGACAAAAGGGAAACTATATTAAGATGAGAAACCTACCGAACCGGTTAATTCCCCAAAGCACCTCCGTACATACTACTTTTTCTTCCTTCCATGCAATTTCTAAATTTCAATTTCTTGCGACGTTCTTCTTTAACTTTTTTAATCTCTTTCAAATGGCCTTTAATACTACTTTTGAAAAATTACTCAGGTTTGGGGGGAAAAGGCAATTCTTGATGTTGCCGAACAAAGAAAAAAAAGAACCCACACGATCCGAGCTTCCTTTCTTTACCTTGAGTAGGAAGAGTCCTTCTTTGAAACAAAATCTTCGCATTTACCACCCCAAGAAAAAGTTAAAAATAAAAATAATCACGAGCAAATTAATTAGAACATTGAACTTAACCCAATGAAAGGAAAAGGCAACGTCGGCTGAACGATGACTAAGTAGTACGTGCACAAGAATATCATGAGATGGACCAAACAGAGGTGTATTTTATAGCCACTTTTTCTTTGTAAGTAACTTTCTTCAATCAAATATGTGCATAAAAATAGGTGTTTTAATTTCTTTTCTTTGTTAATTTGCCAAACATGCACATGGCTTGGACTTAGAACCCATGACATTCAAACAGTGGATAATTTCTTCGTTCATGACATTGTTCAGATTGAATTAAAGTAGAGAGAAATGTCTGCGTTCAAATTACTCGCGACGCCC